CCGACCGACCGACCGACCGACCGAGTCGTTGGTCGGCTCGCCGAAGTGGAAATGAATCATACGTTCCTGGAAGGCGGCGGTGGCGACTTCCGCGCACACTGTCGCAGGATCGTCATCGCACGATCGGAATCCGAGGGAGTCCGAAATGAAGTCGGACGAGACGTGATACGTGGCCGTCGCAGCCGAAGCGAGACGAGACGAGACGAGACGAGACGAGGCGAGATCATAGGAGAAACGACGCCGTGAGATTCTTCTGGGCGCCGCCGTTGCGAGAAAGAAGGCGTATCTCGCGAGCCGGGCAGCAATGGCCGACCGGCGCGTCTGCTCGCGGCCATAACCACAAAAAGGCCGTCGTCGGCCGCCGGGCCGAACCGGGTCAAGTCGAGACGAGTCGAGTTGATCGCGGGGTCTTGCCCGTCGAACTATGCAACTATCGCACCGCGTCGCGTCTCGCCGTCACATTTACGGATGTTTCTCTCTCCTCGTAGGGGCGTTGATACACGCAGATATGAATAGCGCGAAGCGGCAGCGGCGGCAGCGGCGACGACGGTGGCGATGGAACGGCGGCGGCGGTGGCGGCCGTCGCTGCCACCGCGTCCAGATATTTACCATTTTCCGTAGCGATGTAGCCGGTGGGCAGGATCACGTAAACGAGCACTTTAACCGACACTTTTCCGGAGTATCTCAGCCGTGGTGGAACTGGATAGCGGCGCAGTGTCCAGTCGAAGGGATCGCGCGGCTGGCTCACGGACGAACGGGAAGGGAGGCTCCTCTCTCGCGACCAGCCGGCTCTGTCTCTCTCTTTCTCTCTCTTTTACTCTCTCGACGAATCCTGTATCCCTACGCCTGCGCGCGCAGCGCCGCCACGGCCGGCACCGATTGGCCCGCTTCGGGCTGCCCGCGCCCCGTCGCGCGTCCTCAAAAATTCGCGGTTGCGCGCCACCGACCTCCGTGCGCTCGCCAGCGATAAGCACGCGGAAAAATTCGCGCGAATCGCGAATCTCCCGTGTATCTTTGAAACGGAATGAGCTGGCCGCTATCACGACGCGCCAAATGTCGCGCGGTAGTTTTGCGTTGACTGAAACCACCGACCAGTTATAAAACGCGTTATGGAACGCGCGATTAGCTGGAAAGAGAAAGAATACGATTAGGTTCGGTCGATGACGAGAAATACATTAACGGCGCGAATATCTTGACGGGGCGAGTAAAGTCGATTCGGCGTGCACGTAGGTGAGATCGATTCGCTGGCACGCGTTTCGGGAGGAATCAGTCATTGACGCGGGACGTGCCGGTCGCGCGGCCCAATCGCCGTCAGGGACGTGGGGAAATTGCCTTATATGGGCAGCGGCGTGCGAACGATCTGTCTGGCGCACACGCGTCGCGACTGCGCGCAGAGTTCTCGCGAAACTTACCGAGACACGCGACCGCAACGTGCCGTGAAATCGGTCGGTAAACCAGAACCAGGAACGTACCAAGATCACAGAGGTGCCTCCACGTGTGGGAAAATTTTCTATTTGCATTTTTTATATAGTGGGTGACTCGTTTCAATCAAACGACTAACTCATTTGAATATAAAAAAGAAAAAATTGCTCGATAAGGAATTGAATGTGTAATCATATTTCAATTGGTTTAATGTTGATAAGATATAGTTAAAAATCTTATTTTAATGTCTATTTTTATCAATACTGATTAATTTTATAATTTTGGTTTATTTTTTTATTTGTTATAAGTTTTAAGAATTAAAAATATAAAAAGTAAATTAAATCGAGATTTAAGATAATTTTACTAGAAATATTGCTAGAAATTGACATAAATGATCGAATTAATCATCGAATTAAGTTAATCGCAGTTCAATTAAAACAATCTTTAGATCCTGTGATAAATTTCATAAGTATAGCGAAAAGTTAATATTCGATTTTAAACGAGGAATTTTAAACAAAAAATACTGTAATAAGATACAGGATTTTTTGATAAATATAATGTACTTATTTTGAGTCAAAAGAATATAAGATATTTAGTAAATTAATATAAAATGTGTTCAGTAGATTGAATATGAACGCGCGCGCGCGCGACACGCATACGCACACGCACACGCACCACACATACACATACACATATCATACATACATACATACATATACGCTTACCAACCACGTACGCACACTCACGTGTATATATTTTTTTAATACTGTTAGTAATCATTTCAAAGTTTACAATATACTTGTCTTTGTACATATGAAAATGTTACATGTTCGTTATAATAGATTAGTTTATCCTGAGCAACAAACAACACACTTAAGATTTGCAGTAAATGATACAATTGCCAGGAACGAATTTTATACATGCTTTTACGATAAAACATGTATTACAATAATAAAGAGAACATATTACAATGATAAGAGGGAATATACAGAATAAGTATTAAGAAACTTATTATATACCTGTATATCGATGTATATCGAATATTACTAAAAATATATGTATATAATATGTACGAGCTTATAATTTATTCATAATTCCATTCCTTGCCACTTCTGAGTATTACAGTACAAATATTAGGTTTCTTATATTAGCACATCTGCCAATTCTTTTTTTCGTGCATATATTTTTTTACAAACGATATATTACACGAATATACGAATTGTTCTCTATAGTTATACATTGTTTTTTAACACAGACTACACAATTACGATTTTTTGAAAATAATTCCTAGATCGGAGGAATAATAGCTGATGAAAAGAAACATTCAAAAGTCTTATGTTTAAATGTAGCTCCTAAATATATGTGTATATATATATATATATATATATATATATATATATATATATATATATATATATATATATATATAATATAA